CTTCTCTTTTATAACCGTGATAATGATTATACCCATAATCTCTTTTTACTTTGGAAATTAAATGACGTTTTTCGTATCCATCATCGCTATCATCGCTATCATCGCCATCATAATCTCTTTTAACTTTGGAAATTAAATGACGTTTTTCGTATTCACCATCGCTACCATCATCATCTTCATCACCATATTGTGCTTCTCTTTTATAACCGTGATAATGATTATACCCATAATCTCTTTTTACTTTGGAAATTAAATGACGTTTTTCGTATTCACCATCGCTATCATCGCCATCTCCTTCATCATCACCATATTGTGCTTCTCTTTTATCTTTGGATATTAAATCACGCTTGTTCCAATATCTACCATATCGCCGGTAAGGATTGTGACGATGCCACCATCTCCACCCCCTCCACCCCCTCCATGGTTCTCTTTTAGCTATGGATCGCTTTTCGTATTCTCCTCCTTCGTCATCATCATCTTCTTCGTCTCTTTTAACTTTTTCTTCGCAATCTTCTTCAGGTTCTTCTACAGGTTCTTCGCCATCTTCACAGTCTTCAGAGCGCTTATCATAGATATCGCGTTTAGATGGTTGAATTGAGGAAGTGACTTCTTCGATATCGAAAGATAAAGGTTTGGCTGATATCGAAGCAATGAATCCGATGATTATAAAACTTAATGTGATTAAGAAAATAAAATTGGGGATCTCTTTGTACTTCATGGTTGATGATACGGTAAAAGTGGAATATAGGGTTCGAAAGGACCCAATCTAAAGAAGAAAAAGATTGTTCTTTTGAACAAGAACAAATAGGGATTGAATTATTTTATTTATTGAGGAAGAGATCTTTTTCGAGACTGATGAAAAGTTGTTGAAGTTTGCTGTTCTTTTATAAGTTTTCGAACTCATCTGAAGTAATTGTCTTTCTTTTAAAATTTATATATATCTCTATCATTGTTTGAAAATTCAACAATGTTGCAGTGTTAAAAAAAATTTTTTTTTTTTAACATCATCGATGAAACAAATTATTATCCTGCACGAATAAAACCACCTCCTTCATTATGCTATTAACCGAGTTTCGTTCGCGTATCCTGTTTTATTGGGCGATGATTGTGGATAATAAGAGTTCGCCAGGGCAGCCAAGACTTGAGAACAACGTGATAATAAAAATGTGGCGTAGATGCGTGATATCAATGCAGGGAATGCTGATAAAAGGATGATGATGCAGGCCTTACTTGCATTTATGCCACCTATTTATTATTATATTGCCAACGATTCCCATGTCCGCCCTGGTGGACTCGGGCAATAATTTAATAATATGATATATGCATTCGATCAAATCCTATTTTTGTTTTATCTGTTACAATGTGCACATGTTTAATTGTTCAGGAGATCAAAATTCTCGTCATATTAATTAATATTCATAATTGTTTTCACTGCATGTTAATAATTGACACAAATTAGAAATTAAAAAACCTATTTATAGAATTACTCATTTTAAACAATGTAATAACTAAAATAAGGAGTTATTTAAAAAAATTGCTAAAATCCAAAAATATAATTTTGATTCAATATTCGAAAAAACCACCATTTTTGATAAACAATAACGATAAGCTTAGACTAATTTATCCAAGTTTAGTTTTGAATATTTCCACACGTACAGTAATTACTTGAAATTACTTGAAATTACTTAATATGACTAGACTGATTTTATGTTATTACAGTGCTTTAGGCCAGGTTGAAATACTATAGTGATTTGCCGGCCATTTACTACGTCGATGCTTATTGTTTGAAATATCTTTTTTGATACATCATTATCGAATAAAAATATATTATAAACATACCATAGATCAATAATGATACTTTTTGGATGGACGGCAAATTACTATGGTATTTTTAACCCTGCTTTAGGTTACAGATTTCGATATTGATGCCATAATTTGAATATTGATGCCATATTTGAAAATTGATATTACAAAGGACTATAATCTTTGATCTCCGTCAAATAAATTGCTTAGTACACGTATAATAAGAACTGTATCATATGTCAATTTTTGATAAAACCATCGTAAATTGTTAATAGATGATTTATCATTTACATAATGGAGCCCCTATGGTTATGGCGTGAATCATTTATAAACATCAAATCTTAACTATTAAAATTTATTATTTGTGGCTATTTGAACCAATTAAAAATAATACCTGGAGATTTATTAATATGGCGATGTATGTATTCAAAATTCTTGGTATGTTTTTTCTAAAAATTGCTACTACTCTACTAATATTTGAAATTTCGTAAAAACAATAATTAATTTCGTAGATACAGAACTATAGAGCTAAATATTGTTTTGATGAACTTGGAAGTTTTGTTGAAGAGTAGGAATTTTGGATGTCTTTAGATATCTCTAAATAAATTATCAATTAATAAATTTACTATTATATTTACTGGTGAAGAGTCCCTAATTACACGTATGGATGGCAAATAAAAAAGCATTTTTCACCTTTTAAAACATGTGATGCAGGGCTGAAACGACCTATTGAAATTACTGCGCCAACAACCATTGTCTAAATACTTTTTTTTTGAGCTTCAATTAAAATCGCAAATATTTAACTATATTACTAAAAATAATGCTTAAGATTACATTAAATATCTTCTAATTAAATTTTAATATAATGTGGGCCAAGAATGATACTTTAAGAATGGCCATTACTTCAATAAGTCGTTTCAGCCCTATTATGAATTTTTAGACATAAATGGTTAAGAATATTGCTTAAAGATATAGATTATGCGCATCTTATTACAATATTTTTAACCATTAAAAAATAACCACGTTTAAATTGCAACATGAAAAGAGAAAGGATCCGGAGAATTCAAAAATTTTCGATCGATCGATCGTGATATATCAGAATCGGAAAGATATTAAGAAAAATACCCTAACCTGAAGATATATTAAGTTCATGGTTATCAGTGTTTAAGAACAACCTCATGATAGATCAAATTTGTAATTAATTAATTTAAACACTGACATCTGATAATACGGAATCAGATTTAAGGATATATCCAAATATAGAAAAAAGGAAAATTTACTAATGATTGATACCGCAAGATGGACGTACAGCATATACATATTTAATCAGGAAAGGCGTATGTGAATTAGCCAGGTCGGCCCCTAGGGATGTTGTTAAGTGGTCCGCAGGGGACCGGGTCCGGGGACTGGGAACAGTTCGAAACTAGTCCATAATCACATGATATAAATCAAATGTCATTTTGACACTACAAATGAAATTAAATCAAGAACAATACTTTTAATTGCCTTAATTTAAGGAAGTATAAGGTTCTTTAATTGGATTTTGTATTCTGATTGGTTGTTTTGGTGATTGTTTTTTTTTTGTCGTATAATACAAATTTTCGAAATCATATGCATTGTATATTAAAACCATTAGAAAATTGGACCGGTTTTGGACAGGGGAACATCCCTATCGACCCCAAAGTGCCAGTGACGTAAGATCAATTAGTGTAATTTTTATTGGTTCTCTTCTAGCTGCATATTGTAAATAATATTGAATACTGTAGCTATGTCATGATTACGTTACTGGCACTTTGGGTGGGCCGCCCTGGCTAACTCGGCGTATGTTAATGTACAAAGAGATTATTAAATAAAAACGATGGAGAATTCGCGTTTTAAAGTACGTGAGAAGTTACCGAAAATAAAACAGAATTCACAAGTTCTTTGTCTACGTTCCTATTGAGTTGGGAAAAAAAAATTTGAATAATAGAAATGATATTCAGAAGATATGACAAATTTCAGAGCGATAGGAGCGCTTCTATAGAAAATATTAACAGATATGTATAATAAATATAGAATACACATCTAACTCCCTTAAAACAATTCAAACGCCTATTATAAATGCAATTTTTATAAATTTCTGTTTTTGTTTATTTATACGCATAATATTCAATGATTTTCAACAATATTCATCTGTATATTCGTCTTTTATTAGTTTGTCACTCTTTACAGTTTTGTCACCTTTCGTCATTTTATTTTAATTGACGAAAGACGAAACTGGGTTTCGCGTTTCGTCAGCGCAAAACCTCGAGGTTTCGTCTAACAGCTATATTTCGTCAATTAAAAATTGACGTACGTGAGTTTAAAATTTATACCGATTAAAATATAACGTACGTCAAATCTTAATGCATGTTTAATAAAGTATTTTAAATATATATGAAAAATTTTTTTAATAAAAAAAAATTTTAGTTTTTTCGTTTGGGAACTGTCACTTATTACGTAATTATAGCCTCCTCCAGAGTCAGTCATTTGACAATTACAAGTTCTAAAGTAATCGATCGTTCGACAATTGTAAGTAGGGATGTTAAGTGGTCCACGGGGAACTAGTTTGGACCAGGTCCAAACCCGGACTTTTAAGGGACTAGTAGGACT